AGATTTGATCAAAAACAATCTGCTTGACAGCAAACGATAGTCAATAATAATCAATGGCAACTGAGGAATCAAGCTTGTGATTATCGATAACTGGTCATCGATTGGCCGATAGCAATTGATGGTAGTTAACTTATTGTTTGATCACGCTGGGTTACGGTATATATGGATGCTGGTGAGGGCAGTCTTGACAATCTCACTGTACAGTCACACAGATTAGAAAGCTGTCTTTCTCAGGGTCGTTCCTACCTGGATGGCCCACAAGGCAAACTGCTGATATTTGTCGTGTTTATCCTGGGGTATATTTATATGGCACAATGTCAGACTCAAATTCATAATTTTACATAAATAATATAAGCTATAGGCTAAAGTTATAAAGTTTACTGTGTTTTAATAAACCTTGAGAATGTGTAGCTGGATTAGTTCAGTGTAAAGGTGTGTGAAAGAACAATATGTGACTCTTAGCTTAATTGTGTATTGAATCTTTTTCTCCCAACAATAAAAGTTCAAGTAAGGACAGGTTTACTTATTGCTCCATTACATGTATGTCATTGTGCATAGAATGTCTTTCATTTTAAATCCTTCACACAGGAACATCATTTACAAACAGAACAAGACTCACAAAATTGTATGCAAACGATAATGTTTAGGTACAGGGATTGCAGTTACATGGATTCATGCCATTCAACAAGTAGCATTCAATAGTTACTGTTCTGTCTTATGAAGTAACTCCTTTTTATTCTTCTAGTTTCCTAACAGGGTTTGTTACTGGTGCCTATGCTGACAAAATTTGAAGTTTAGTTGCTGAGCATTTTGCTGTTAGTCAATAGAAAATAATAAAAATGGATCCTGAGACCACAGCAATACAGAAAATTCAAAGTAATGGCAACAGACCTGAAGAATGGCTGGAATTTTTGGCCCTGCAGCAATCGAAGACAGCTGCTGGTCTTACTGATGAGAGCTGTCGTCATCTACTATATCTCTATGAAAGAGCTGTGAGTCAGATTCCAGCTGAGGAAAATAAGAAGAATTTTTCCTATGCTCAACTCCTTGTGGATTTTGCAAAACTTCAAACGTTAGTGTCTCCTCAAGACCTGTAATTATTATTTGTTAACAGTCCAGTCGCCATGCTCAAGTGCATGCATTTAAGTTGAGATATTAATGTACACTGTATAATTACATAACAGAAATAGCACAAGAAGAAGAAGAAGCATTCTCAAAAACACTCTAGTGTTAACATATACATGTAGCAACAATGCTCAGGAGCAAGTTTACTGTTACTGACAGTGCCTTAACAAATTGCTCACTGTGCATGTTCAAACTCCAGTTTGTAACTCTGTCAAAAGATCGACCTGATGGTCATTTACTGATGCAATGTTTGGTAGGGTGTAAAAATTCTTATAAATTTGTGCAAAACCAGCACATTATAAGAAAAGTAAACTTTGTGATAATGATTTTGTTGTAACTGTTTGTTACAGGAGAGTATCTGAGGATGATGCAAGGAGTACATTCCAGTNGTGAGTCAGATTCCAGCTGAGGAAAATAAGAAGAATTTTTCCTATGCTCGGCTCCTTGTGGATTTTGCAAAACTTCAAATGTTAGTGTCTCCTCAAGACCTGTAATTATTTGTTAACAGTCCAGTCGCCATGCTCAAGTGCATGCGTTTAAGTTGAGTCATTAATGTAGACTGTATAATTACATAACAGAAATAGCACAAGAAGAAAAAGAAGCATTTTCAAAAACACCTCAGTGTTCACATATAGAAACAAAGCTCAGGAGCAAGTTCACTGTTACAGACAGTGCCTTAACAAATTGCTCACTGCGCATTCTCAAACTCCATTTTGTAACTCTGTCAAAAGATCAACCTGATGGTCATTTACTGATGCAATGTTTGGTAAGGTGTAAAAATTCTGCTTAATTTGGGCAAAACCAGCACATTACAAGAAAAGTAAACATCTTTGTGATCTAATAATTTTGTTGTAACCTTTTGTTACAGGAGAGTATCTGAGGATGATGCAAGGAGCACATTCCAGTTGGCAAGAAGCAATGCCAAACACTTTGCTATTGTTTTTGTTGCATGGGCTCAGTTTGAGCAACGAAAGCGACACATTAAAAACACAGCAATAGTGAAAATATTGAAAGAAGGAATCTTGCACATGAAGGAACTAAGATGGAATTTAAAAGCAAAGAAACTGGTTTCTTGTACTGCGAAGACGCAATGAACAGAAACACCAATGATTGCAAAAAAATGCTGATGAGTACAGTGATTAAACATGACCAAGACTATATTCAATCTTTGCAATTATTACAAATGGTGGAGGTGAAGGGGTGCTTGTTCCAACATTTGGCCGATAAGAGGGGTGTTATTTAGGTGGAGAGGAGGCGGGGTGTAATTCCAGACTTTGCAGTATGTTATGCTACTTGAACGATACACTGATATTGAAAAGTGTGGCACCAGTACTAACTGCAATGGGTAATAGAGTAGGATCCTAACGGTATACTCCATGTGTTAAATTTGGAGTAAATTGTCCTCTTCCCTTGGAAAGTATTTTCTAAAACATTGATCAATGTCATGTTCTGCACCCAATAAAGGTGATGACAGCTCAACAGGTAATAGTGCACTATTAACTGGCTCATCAAGATTTTCTGACAACACAAGTGCTGTGATATCATTCAAGCTTCCCAGTGTCCTTGAGAGTTGTGGTAAGAAGCAGCTAAGTTGTAGACGGAGTAACAGCAGCAGCAGCAGTGACGAGGCAGACACCATTCCCCTCCAGGCATCCACTGGCAATCACTGGCAGAGGGGCAGCATGTCCACTCAGAAACCATCAGTAAAATCTACACCAGACTTCAGATCAGGTTAGTCCAACCTATCCTTGTGGACACCTCCAATGTCACCTCTATATATTTACAGGCAGTTCACTCGGTCCCAGAGTAATTAAAACTCAAGACATCTAATTTCTACCTCTATAGTACAGATACTCATATCTGTTGAAAAGTCATAGTATGTTTAGTCAAGATCCCAAGAAATTTGACCAAGCTATTTTGTTCATGTCAAGTTTTCCTATACTTGTACACTAGGTAAAGACAGTCTTGCAGCCTGTATGAATCTGTCAGTTCGGCGCAACAAGACAAGGCGTGGCCCGGGAGGGGCAGGAATAACTTTTGGTCTTCCAATGAGAGTCAAGATGCCGCTTCCAGCAGTGAGAGAACCTGGTGATGAGTTGGATGGAATTACTGAACTGGAATACACCGTGGATGAGTCTCGCCAAAGTTTTGAGCCAGCAGTGGTGTCCGGCAGCCAGGAACACCACTTGGAAGGTAGCAGTGCACGTACTGCTTCGTCAAACTCGGAAACAGACCGTGAGATCGACCAAAGACTTCATACTCGTGAGCCCGTAAAGGAAGCCTGCAGTCACAGTCTGGAAAGGGATACAGGGAACGCAACTGTTGAATCACAGCGTGTCTTCACTTCAAAGACGACAGAAGGCCAAGTCTGTAACCAGCAGCAGAATAGCGGTACACAAGAAGGGTCGCACTCATTTGCTACAAACGCTCATTCAGCAACGCTAAATAACTTGAGCAGACAGCAGGCGGATGCTGTTAATTTAAGCCGACAGCAAACGCCGCAACAAGTACCAACAACGCAAGTGGTTACGCCCTCCAACAACATCAACGGATCATGTACAATTCAGCGACAAACGTCAAGTTCGATCACACCAGTTGTTTCTGGATATGGCTCTTTTTCTCAACAGAATACTCCTCAAGTCAGACACGGAAGCCAACCATCAACGATTCCAGTTCAATTCCATAGTGTTGGTCACGTCCCAGGATACCCCTCAGATATGCAGTTTGCCAGGCCTGCGGTCGTGGTCGCCCAGGCTCCCCAGGACACTATTGTAGTGAAGGGCAAATCGTACCAGAAGTTGGGAACTATTGGCAAGGGAGGGTCCAGCAAGGTTAGTTTTCAAAAGAGTGATTTGTTTTACACTAACATGTAAGGTGCTGGAAATGTCGTTTCGTTTAGAGTACACCTACAAGTACGTGCACCAATAAATGTGGTTTAAGATTCCCCGACAGGTTCTCGTTGCTGCAGTCATTAAAATATCTCGATTCTACATGTACTTTGCACGACGATGGTGGCAACGTAAAACTAATCTATAACCAGTCTCTCTGTTTTCCTAATTTTTTTGTATACATTTACTTTTTTATACACTCCCCAAAGCTCGAATCTTTAAGAGAAATCAAGAAAGGTTCAAGAAGTTATCGGGAAATAGGAAAAATGGCCGAATAAGAACGATGCGAATGCGAATCAAGGAGGTTCATTGCAAAGAAAGAGTAAAAACAACATAGCAAATCATTTAAAACAGACCCGAAGGGTATTAAACAAAGAGATTAAAAGGGTAAAATCACAGTAAATGTGAGCTAGTGCGAATCTCGTGTCTATATGTGTTCTATTACACTTACAGGTGTTCCAAGCATTCGATGGCAAAAGAATATGTGCAATAAAGTACGTGAATTTAGAAGAAGCTGACGACTTCATAGTTCAGAGTTATATAAACGAAGTTCAATTGCTGGAGCGACTGCAGGGAAATGATAACATCGTCAAGCTGTATGACTGGTGAGTGCACGCACGGTCTGGAATTCCTCAGCTTTACATCATCCAATTCTTAGACTGTATAGGATGTGTAGTTTTGTTGGCTTTGTCCCATTAGGCCTACTTTTCTGAAGAAAGTCAGATCTGCAGGAGGTGTTTGAACTCGTGTATTACACTTCACGTGCTTTCTCTCAACATTTTGCTTCTTTCCTTCACCCTGCTACAAGTGCACTTCCTGTACAATTTTCTGCGCCAGATTCTTCCTTTTTTCAGCGAAATGTACTTGGTAGTTTTCGTGTTTTCTTTTTCTTTTTTTTCATTTAATTATATGTACTTTGACTCGCTTTTTCCCTTTCGGCTTTCCAAATGCGCATCGCCTTCTTCTAAGAGTCAGTCTCTCAATGTAGAATATCAGAAGAAATTCCACCACCAGGTTGTATAACAGCGCAGCTAGTAATCTAAACCTTTTTTCAACGATAAAAATTTCACTGTCTTCTTACAGGGAACTTAGCCAAGAGAAGAGCCACCTGATTTTGGTGATGGAATGCGGAAGTATAGACCTAGCTGGTTTCTTGAGGAAAAATCGCACGAAAATAACTGAAAACGAACTTCAGGTGTTTTGGCGGCAGATGCTGGAGGCTGTGCACGTGATTCATGAGGCGCGAATTATTCACAGTGACCTAAAGCCCGCCAACTTCCTTTTGGTGGAAGGACGCCTGAAACTTATCGATTTCGGGATCGCTAATGCTTTACAAGTAAGTAGAACGGATACCACCAAATTCCTCCCCCCTCCGCAGAGGCCTTAATCGGCGCAAAGGTACTTTGGGGGTTGGGAGAATACGCTGAGCGATGTGAGTGGCAGTGCAGGCGCAGGGTTATTCTTTTAATTTTGCGCCTGCACTCGTGTCCCACAGCGGATTTTGTAAAACGAACGAAGCAGTACGGAGGAGAAAGACCAAATTCTGATTCATTTCCGCTCGCTCTTGTTGCTTAAAATAGTTCACATTGATTCAAAACTTGGGTATTTTATCCTCGAAGTTTTGAACGTAATTCTTGTGCAAGGCTGATTTTTCTTGCTTCTTATAGGGAGACAAGACAAGCATAGAGCTTAACACACAAGTTGGCACGTTAAACTTTATGTCTCCAGAAGCATTTCAAGATATATCTCACGCTCCTCGGTTCGACAAAGCTGGAAATGCAAAACCAAGAATGAAGGTACGGACTATACATGTATGCAGTCGAGGTCATATGATGAAAGTTGTATACGATATGGAGTTGCCTGGGGCTACAAAAGTCGCATGTGACAGAATTGAACGGTGTTCAGATGTATCATCCGAATCGGCGCCGACATTAAGACTGTATCAGTTCAGCTTCTATAAGGGATGGACCATTATTTTTTTGGAGGGGGGGCGGAGTTGGGCAATTTTCTGGAATATTAAATGTTTTTCTCACCTTTTGGTCGTGTATGATTTTTTTCGGTGGACAATAGCTTAACATCAAAAAACAGGACCTGAATATAGTAGAAAGTAGCCTGTGAACAGGCTCTCTAGTCGAGGATGGGGTGAAGAGAAAGCGGAAAAAAAACCGTTCTCCTCTCGGCCACTTCACTCTCAGCCAGTTCCTTTTTGGTCCTCGCAGCCGGAGCCTGTTCACGGGATAAGTAGAAAGCACTTGCTCGATTATTTTTTCTCATGGCTCCCCTTGCACGATTTTTTTTTCTTTTTTCATCAGTTTTTTTTTTCTTTCTTTCTTTTTGCTGTACAGGAATTTTTGGGGGTAATTGGTCAAACCCACCGCACTCCCTGAATACAATTATCGTTCCCCACTCGTAGATCACACCCTTGTCCATAACCTTGGCCTTATTGACTTGTGTTAACTCTTTCTGTTTCCCCCTCAAGATCGGGCGAGCCAGCGATGTGTGGTCCCTAGGCTGTATCCTGTATATGATGGTTTATGGCAAGACGCCTTTCCAACACATCACCAATCACGTTGTCAAGTTGCAATGTATTATGGATCCTTCACACGTGATTGAGTTTCCAGATATCAAAGACAAGCGCCTGCTTGATGTCATGAAGGTTAGTTTCGTTACGTGGATATGTGTATTTGACACTGATAGGTCAACGTCGAATGGCTTTTTGCCTCAAACTTTCCTTCTGAAAATGAATTTGATTTGGGTGACTATCAACGTTCAGATTCAAATTGAAAGAACGAGAAGGGACTGAAAAGAGAGGGGACTAGAGAAATAGCGGAGAGCATCTTCTTTTGCAGAGAAGTAAGGTTAAAATATGGCTACTTTTTGATAAGTCGACTTGGCATGAACTAATCAGGAAGTAGCTAAACAAGTATAATTGTGCACTTGACCTTTCACTGAGAATGGTCCGCGCCGATTGTTTGTTTCCATGTGACATCGTAGTCGCCATGTTGGTGGTCATAAAAAGAGGATTTCTTTTCAGCTTTTTTCGCGTTTTTACTACCATTGATTAAGGCCTCCAAGCCGTTTACATTTCAGTCCCTCAGAATTTGATGCAATCCACCTACAGCACTCTTTCACTTTCACGCCCTACCATCTCGGGCAGTAAGCGGCGTGCGCCTGCTCGCATTGTTGATATAACCCTTACTGTACTCTCTTTTACTGGTCTTCGAAATGTTATCAAATTTGACATTTCCCATCAATTTCCTTTTGTAAACGCATTCGTGTCATCATGTTGTGACAGATACAGACTGATGTACTTTAAAATTCTCTTTTTCAGGGATGTCTTCGCCGGTCCCCAAAAGAACGTTACAGTATTCCACATCTGTTGGCTCATCCTTACATTGATCCGCACTCACACGGTAAGCGGTCTTTTTTGTTCTTTCTCCCCTCGCTTTCACCTCCGCAGTCGCTGGTTAAATTTAATACAAGTACTAGTTATCGTACGTTAGGTCAGTCAGTGAAATTACATACAAGTTTCGGAACTCGTCCTACCTCGTGTCTTTCTTTGGTCAGAAAGTACGCCGGTTCGATGACTCAGTTTGCGTGTATTGGTCGTGGATGCACTTTTCTGCATGCACGTACATATAAACAAGGCCACTTTCCTTGCAAAGCTTGTTGCATAGCTTTTCATTTACATGTTTTCCTCGTTCTAAGATCCCCTGGAGGATGAGGATAAAATGTTCCACGTCTTGATGGAGTTTGCTAAGGCTGATGTTAACTCGCCGCGTTCCGTGCGTGCTCTGAGTAAGGTAAGAATTGTGTGAATTACGCGAATTTAGACAGACGAGAATGTACACGTCTAGTATCCTGTCATCCACATAGCCAGCAACAATCTTTGACTTTCTAGTAAGTCTAGGACAACTTCAGACCAGAAGCGCCCGGGTGCCGCAGGCGACTAACTTTCGCCTTTGGGCGACTGGAAAAACTCACTCTTACGTGTTGGGCACCCAGGATTTCATGCTTAGGAACCTTTCGGCTCCTCGTAATTTTTTTAGACCACAGCCTTGAAGTCCCTACGTCAATCTTCGCTACATGGTTCAGATTCATCCAAACATTTCAGTTCCCCCAAACTCACTGGTATTGACATCGTACCGCGGAAGTCATTATTCACTGTGACCTCCATGCTTTTCATTCTTCGTCAGAGTTTTTATAAACAGCTTCTTAGTGGTAACAAGGTCAGCATCTCATCTGCTATACCCAGACCCTTTGGCACTGTACCTTCCCAGCATGCAATGCCACCTCACCAAGTTCCTCCAGCACCTGTGGTCCGCCAGCCTTTGGTTGGAATTGACTTGCAAGCGTTAAATCAGGCACAGAAGGCGTTAAAACCTCCTCACGCGTCAGGAAATGCCAAGTATATGAAAGGGACTGCTAACGAACCGAACAAGGTATGTGAAACAACTAAAATAAATGTTTGAACTACGTGGATTGAAGGAAAAAGCGTCTTTAACGAATTTCCGTATCTACAGTTCTCATATGGCATTCGACAACAACAACCATAATGGCTAATTAGAACAGAAGCCAAAATAAGATCGTTATTTCCCACCCTTCCTATATTGTTGAAAAAATGTTAGTCGTCGTTGAAATTCAAGAGCGTGTCGATGAACTTCCTGAAATATTATGGCGTTTTTCAGTCAAATCAGGGTATAGCAAGAAAGGAAAATTATCTTAAGTTGGAGAATATAAAAGGAATTCAATGCATAATTTTATTTAGACAGTTGCCAATTATTTATGGAACAGAAGACCGATAATGCAGGGTATCTTAGTGTGATACTAACTTACTTTTTTTGGTTTTACGACTTTCACTTTTACTATACCATCGTGTAGGAAAACGCGGATCTTAACGGGTTATTGAAGCATGAGCTTGTAGAGAAATACAAGAACGCACATCCTCACGATACATCCGAGTCCACATTTGGTAAGTTTGATTTTCTCACTA